AAAGGGACAATGGTCATCGCCTTAACCTGCACCCAAAGGGAGTCACTGCTCCAGTCTTGAGCACCACCGGTCGGAGAGTAGAACTGCGTTTGAGTCCTCAAGGACTCCCAATGTGTTAAAGACCGAGTGGAACAAAGGTTAGCCGGCTCTCCCGCGCTCGTCGAAAGAAGGACGCCCTGCAGAGCAGAGTGTACAAGTGCTGAGCCAGTGTCAGGGACTCCAAGGGAGGAGGAAGCGGGGAGGGAGGCCATCGTGCACTTGTCCCCCCCCCTCCTCTTCCCGTTCTCGTTTTCGAGACAGACAGGTCTGCGCGGTGCCAAGTAGGCCCGGGTCCAAAGAGACTCGTTGGCGGCGTCAACGCGTGCGGAGGCCGCCGCCGGCGCCGGGTCTTGGGTGACTTGTCGCCGAACGGAGAGAGGCGACCCGCGGAGCGACGGATACGGCTGTGGGCGCGTGACGCGGGAATCGCGAAAATGGGCCCCCCTCCGACGCGCCACCGCGGTCCCGTGCTCGCTGGGAGGTTGACGCATCGCAGCGCGAGACGCTGCATCATGCTGGCCGACGTCGCTGACCCTTGCGATAGAGTCGCGTGGCCGTGCGTACTAAAAGGACAACATGGAAAAAAGTGCAATCGCAAACAGCATTTTAAAGAAAGTTGGCAGAGATCTTTATCTTTAAAGTCCTGCGTGAAACGCAGTATCGTTTAAAATTATATAGAAGCCGTTAAAATATGTACGTGAAAGTCTGTACACAACGTGAGCCGTGATTCTCCGCCTCATTTTGCCCCTAATGTCTTTTGCCGCGTAGACGCCTTCTTTCGTAAGCATCCAGGGACAACGTTGGCGGGTACGCTGGTAGGTGGCGCAAGCTACCGCCCGCTACAAAGGGTATAGCCAATAACATCCATCCATCCAGGGCTTAGTTCTTATTGTTTTAGTTGGTTAGCTGTTTCTTTTTGTCGGTAGACACGGAGAACCACTAGATATATTAAAGTGACAGCGTACATCTACTACCGACTCAAGCGAGACGCCGAGGAAAAGAAATAATTCACCCTGTCCTCGGCACAGACATTTCATGCTTCTCAGCGATCTTTCTGATATCACCTCCCGGGAAACAAATCAAACTTTAACGTGTACTCCGGCGTTTCCTTCATAGTCCCCGATTTGCCTGGAAATTTGCTAAACACACCAACGAACGCCGCTGAAATAGTAACCCAAATATTTGGCCAAAATATATATTCTTTTCCGAGGTTAATGAATTAATTTTAGAGAGCAGCTCCTAGGCGCCCGTTTCCGGCTTGAGCGGCATCGGCGTAGCCGCGCGGTGCGTGATGGGTAAATTTCCCCGCTAAATTTATCGGAAATTTTCCCCGCCAAATTTAGCGGAAAAATTTCCTCTAGCGGAATTTTTCCCGCTAAATCTAGCGGAAAATTTTCCCCGCTAAATTTAGCGAAAAATTTTCCGCTAATTTTAGATTAAAATTTTTCTCTAAATGGGGGCGAGCAGGAGGGGCATAGCCCCCTCTCCGTACCTTCTCCTCCTCCTCCTCAAGAGCTGCGCTCTAATTCGGCGTTAAGCGCGAGACACATGCGCGTAAAAACCATCCGATCCGACGTCCGATCCGGCAGTACGACTGCCTGATCCGAAAAATTTGGTCGCTTCAGACGTCGGATCGGCGATCCGACGTGCGTCCAACGCGCCAGATAGTTTCGCACGGCGGACGGATTGTCGGATGCGTCCAGCCAATGACAGCACAGCTAGCGCGAACGTCATGATGACGTACCGGGTCTGTCGGGACGAACAAGACGGGACGGGCGACGGGAAGCCGGACGCGTGGATCCCGCTGACCCATTCGAGAAAGATGGCCCCGGCAAAGAATGGACGCGCTAACGCGAACGAGCTTCTAACTTCGCTCGTGTGAGCCTCAAGGCCCGTTCACACTCTTGCGACCGAGTACGACCGAGAGAGACCAGACCGGTTTTTAATCCTCTTGCGACTTCTTAGGACCGTTCGCGCTGCTGCGGAGCTGGTCCTAAGAAGTCGCAAGAGGATTAAAAACCGGTCTCGTCTCTCTCGGTCGTACTCGGTTGAAAGAGTGTGAACGGCGCTTAACCGTCAATCTGGGACCAGAGATCTGTGAACGCGGACCTCCGCTGGAGTGCTTGGATCTCCTGGGCGGAGCCGAACGGATCGTCGTGTCGCATGCAAGGTCGGAAGCGTGTCTCAAACTGTCGCGTGTGGCGATTCGGAGCGGCGTTCAGACTGTCGGATCGGAGGTCGGATCGGACGATTCTGCCGTCCATTTGTCTCGCGCTTTATAGGAAGTTTTAAACAGCTTTAATCTTTTTTTTTTTTTTTTTAGGGGGGGGGGGGGTTATTTTGTTTTTTAAGGTAAAAGTATCTACTGACAACAATGAAAAAGTGTCGTTAGGGGAAAGCAGAGGAAGGCGAGAAAGGGCGTCTTTACGGCTGGGATCTTGACCCCGAAACGAGTCCACCGGGAAACCCCTTGCTTCGTACATAGAGAATCAAATGCATCGCTTGTAGTAAAGTATTCGTGTGCATACTTCGCTGTAAATGAACAGTTTGCACTGTTGGTATCACGAAGCGTCCATCACGCTCCTCCAACTCGACACCTCCTCGACCATCCGCACGAGCAACATCGTCAGCTCAGCAAGAACAAAACAAGCATATCTACTCCGCCTCTTCTCGAAACCATGTTTCCAGTAGGGTGCCTTCATGTGCGCTTTGCTTAGGGTGGAGACATCTCGCCATTTTGTTCCCACTTTTACATTTATTTTTTGTTCAGAAGCGCGTGAAAGAGCGTGTCCCTGCACGCGTCTGTGGCGCTGACTGTGCTATGGCGACATTTTGTTTTCGTCGATTTCTTTGTATTTTCCCCGTGAGCGCGTGCTGTCGGCATCGGGTACTACAAAGGGTGGCATCACTCTAAACAGAAGGTCATTGAGGCACCCTAGTTTCCAGAGGTTCTGAAGTCATAATGAACATACTGGAAACCATAGCAGGCTCTCGAGCGATGGGCTCGTGCCAGCCTCCATAGTGTCCACGCACGTTCTCTGCCCAAACACTTGAGACCGGAGATTTCGGAAGAAGGTTGCTTGGCACCATCCCCCCTTCTCCTTCTGGCATGCCAGGACTGCTTAGACCTTACAGCGATGCGAGTCTTCTCTAGAAGAGGATTCTCGAGCGGTTATAGACCCCTACGTTGGCAGTGTCAGCTGCTTTTTACCGGCGGAGTCGGCCGGAAGAATTCAAACTGCCTCCCGGGGCGCTACCCTTTGCACCTGCATCCGCAGGCGATGAACGCAGTTTAGACTATCGGTGGCAAGGGCCCTTCAGCATCATTAAATAACGAGACTGCTGGCCAAAAGTGCGGTTCATCATTACAGTTTTACAACTTAACTACGTACCCCTCGACGTACGGCCCTCCCCTATTTGTACAGCGTTGCATATGTGTGCACACCCTACAACCGACAGTGTGTTTCCGAGCGCTGTTCGGCCGTAAAAAAAGGTCGTATAAATAAAAAGATGAACGAAGCGCATCGAAACTTTTCACAAAGGTGACCGTAAGTGGTGAGTTTATCATACTCAAATTTCATAAGTGTGAATTTCAGGGGAACAATATTAAGCCTCAAAAATACTTTTCTTTTTTTTTACTCTGTACGAGGAGCAAAACGGCAAACGCGCTCTGGATGAATGTTGCTACGCACAGATGGAACCACCCACGCTCGGATCTACTGGATCTGTTTTCGACTGTTAATCTCAAAGAAGCTTTCACATTTTTGCCTAGTGTTGTGCCATCTGTAACTGCGTCAACCAGACGGTTTTTCTTTTTCTTCAGTTTAAATTTATAAAGTTTTGGTTTGGTAAATGCACCTCCTAGACACCTTTCTGAAGAGTTTGATCTCACTCACTTCATCGGTTTATTGATAGTAAACTTTTTAGGCCAGAATACCGCTCAGAAATGCCCTGTAGACTGCCTCGATGCGAAAGGCGCTTCAGGAACGTCGGCCCATTCTTCGGTGGCGCGCTTCATGAAAGCAGCTCGCATATTGCACGTCTAACCGTTCATTCGCACTGGAAGCGGATCCGCGATCGCAACCGCTTTGCGAACGCGGATCCGCTTACAGTGTGAATGAGCGGTAACCGTACGCCGTCGCTTCTCGCCCGGGCGAATGCGACCAGCCGTGCCGCAGAGGCGGCTATGGTCTGCGAAGAAGGTATGCCACGCCTCGCCGTCCGTCCGTCGTTGAGGACGCCGCCGCCAGGGTCGCCACCAACCCCCGACACGGCAGACCGGTAGCAGACGAAACCGAAGGGGAGAGGAGGAGAGCGGCGCGCATGCGCGGTGGGCGCTCCCCCCTACCACCGGGCATTATCGATCTGTCGTCTCGGTTTCATGGCGCCCATGGCTTTATTCCCTTTCGCTCCCTTCCTGTCCGGGGCTTCGAAAACCCGAGATTGACCTTCTGCTGTCTAGTATTTCCGGATAGCGCACTTTTGCAGATGGCGTTGCTACCAAAAACTTGGCTGCGGATAAATATCTGCAAGGTAGGGAAACGGTGCACTGGCGGTGCCGTGCTTGCTCAGGAAAAGTGTTGTGCACTTTTTTTCTTCCTGCCCTTTACCTTGGATTAGCTTAGCAGCTAGAAGTGATCGCACTCGACACATTATCGGCAGAATTAACACTAGGATCTGGAGGTATTGCCCCAGCACCTAAAAGCTTTGTCCCTGTGAAAATGGGACTATGACCTTTTCTTCAAGGACGAACCTCTGGAAGAATGCATTTATCCATTCACTTTTGCATCTGTGAAACCAATAAAATAAACTGCACCACAGCTGCTTATATAAGAAGGTGGCCCGGTACACAACCCCCTAAATGACTAATTCAAGGGCTGCAACTTTCCAATGTTTGGACTTGCAAAACTGAAGTGTAGCCAAGGCCTGGGCAGGCCAAAGCAGGAAACACACAAGTGAAATTGCCAGTACAAGATTTTATTTTAAATCTTTTTTATATAAAAATACCTCTTCTCTGGTGTGACTGACTGTACAAGCAATGTACACTTCAAAACTAAAAAAAGAACATTAAAACACTAAAAAAACACAAGACTTTGAAAAAAAAAAATGATGCCAACGCAAAAACATAAATTAGGAAAACATCGCGGCCACATATGAGAGAAGGGGGTTTGGAAAGTTTACCCAGCGGTGGTTCTAGCCACCTTGGTGGAACAATAACTTAAGAGAAGACACCCCTCTGTAAATACCTTCCAAAAGCTTGCACGTGTGCATACGTATGTGTGAGGGCAATGAAATCGCACGCACACGCAAAACTAATGGCCTCCGTCGAACAGAACGAATGCAAATGATGCCACTGCTATGTACACTGAATGTGGCCGTTCCCGGCAAAATGCTGGCACTTCAAATGCTCGTAATGGTGGGATGTTGGGGGATAAGGGCAGAGTTCGAGGGTGGGTGGGGAAACCTATGTACATGCAGAGAAATAAATACACGGGAACGAGAGACCGCACGGCAAACGCGGGAGAAGACACTCGCCGGAAGCAGCAACACGGGCAGGCTGGTATTTTCAGACACGTTCGTCATATCACAGCTACGAGAGGCAGTCCTCGGCAAGGGGGTTGCTTTGCCTCCTCGCTCCTCGTCCATCGTCGAAAAGTTTCCCAGTGTTCCGCGGTTCCTTTCAACGTCAGTCTGTCCACACACACTTTGTGTAATAATAAAAAAAAAAGAGATTCTAAGAAAGTTGCATTGATGGCTTCGTGGTAGTGGTTGTGCTGCAGCATCCGTCGGGGAAGACTGTTGCGTCGTGTCTGCACCACCGACACAGGCCCGAGTCCGCCGACCGACGAGAAGACACATTCAGACGTTTGGAAAGGCGTTGCCGGGTGTTTGGCGCCCGGCAGCCGTGCGGTCCCGGGCAAATGGTTCTCTCTCTCGATGAAATGGTGAGGCGGGGGAGGAGTGGATGAAAAAATTGGTGCTTCTAGGGGGGCGTGATCATCAAATGCTGTCGTGGCTTCCTGTGGAGTTCTGGTCCACCGAGGTCTGCTCCCCGCGGGCGCACCGTACGGGGATGCCGTCCGAAACCGTGCTCTTGAGGTCGTCCGCAAGCATCCACTCGTGCTCGAGGATCTCCTCCAGGGTGGGGCGCGCAGACGGCGAAAGCGACAGGCACCGGCGGATCAGGTCCTCGCACACTGCGGGGCGAGAGGGGGGAAACCGTTCAGGCACTGTGCACAACCCCATTCGCCTTGTTGTAGAAAAAGGTATGAAGGGGCACAACTGCTAGTCTCGCACAGCCGTAGACACCAGATCTGGGATCCCCCAACAATACAAGTCCATCCTACGTGCGTACGGTTGTACAGAGGCTCTACAAAAGGGGGTAGAGAGTGTACTCACTGGGCGAGAGCTTCCGGCGGAAGTGGACCTCAGCACGGAGGATCTGCTCGTCGCGCTCGAAGGGGATATCTCCGCACACCATGTCGTACAGGAGGATGCCAAGGGACCAGACTGTGGCGGCACGGCCGTTGTAACGGCTGCGCTGGATCCATTCCGGAGGACTGTACACGCGGGTGCCTGCACACAAAACGCCACACCGTTCGTCAGAAACCGAAAGATCTATTACCCAGCCATATTGGTTATCACACTACAGGCTGCATACATGGGTAAAAACAAAAAAATTGCGACCAATTTGTTACTATAGCAGTGGTTTCCCCCGATTCGGTAATTGAAATCACAAGTTTTCGAGAAAGAAGACGCCGACGCTTTTTCCAACTGTTTTGCTTTCCAAGTCAGCATGGAGGGGAATGCGGGTCGGATAACGGAACCTCCTCCTTCTGGTACAAGTGAAGCCGCGAGTCACCCAGCCGTACCGGAGACTGGCGCCGAGATTCCCCCGCTATTTCGGGTGACTCTCCGGCCGGAGCGGCGGCAGACGGCTCCGCGCGACCCTCCAAATAGTCCCCGACATGCCGGCGTCGTCAACCGACCCGCGGCGGGCACAGAGGTCGCCCGGCCGGCATCAACCGGAGCTCAAAACAAGGGGCTTTTCTTTTACATCCCCTTTGTAAAAAGATTGCGTCTAAAGCATAGCAGACGACTCTCGGCAACTTGTGTCGTCTGCTATTGTCCCTGTAAGCAGACGACTCTCATGGCCGCTAAACTCGTGCTTAGCCCACTTCTGGAAATGTTGACAGGCTCGGTCGGCAACTTGTGCCGTCTGCTACCGTTTCTAAGCTGCAATCTATTGTAGTAGCTGAAAACAAAGAACCCCCTACTTTCTGAAATGTGTCTAAAGCAAGAGTCGGCGTCTCCGGCAACTTGCGTCGTCTGCGATTGTCTGAGCTGGAAAACATAGAAGCCGAAACCTAAATGTTTTAACTTTCTACCTTTTGCAATGTGTCCTAACAATAGCTTGTCTGCCAGGTAAGTTCCGTCGTCTGCCGTTGTAGCAACAATTGCCGAAACACAAAATTTGTAACAGCCGTCTGCTATGGTTTTCGTGAACAGCAGACGAGAGTCCTCGCCAAAACGGAAAATTCACCCTTCTTGCTTAATTTCCGTCGTCTGCTGTTACTTTCACCACTATCGTCTGTCAAGAGTAGTGCTGTCACTGCGGGAAAAGCTCGCAATTTCGACTAAAACACGATTCGCTCCTTAGCATCCTTTGCAATTACATAGGGATGAATTACACCACCGACATATTAATTCGCAACCATATACTAACGCATAAAGGTTACCACTCCTGACAACAGCAGGTTGTCCCTTTTGAAAATTCCGAGATAATGGTCGCTATCTGCTGTGATAATACTTCAATGTATTTATATAAACAAGATTCGTGCTGGTTACATAATGCGTTATGAAGGCGCGAAGCCAGCGCTGGAGGCGGACCCAATGGACCCTTCCGCAGTTCCCATACTGTCGGTATTTTTTTTTGTTCTTCAGATTTTTGGCACCAGCTATTGTCCGTTATGAGGGTATAGCCGTTAGCATCCTCCATTCATTCAGTGAATATAGCGTGAGACAGGCGAAGTTACAGGCGACGCTACCGTGAAAAGTTCCGAATATCCGGGAACACGTGGAAGGAAAACGGCGTGGTGCTCGTCTCGCCTTGCGCAATCGTCCCGTTTAAAATGCGGGACGCTCCTTCCAGATTGCGTCACCTCAAACAAAGAAAAAAGAAAATGCACCCATGCCAGGAGGCGTACCACGTGCGTTCGAAACCACGTGGAAGACCTTTCTTGTATTTGTGAAAAAAAGCACGTTTCGGCAAGTTAAAAACAGATTACACACAGGCGCGAACAGCCCTCCATAACCTTAAAATTGCAAGCTTTTCCCCTTTTCTTAGACTGGTGGCTCAGGTGGTAGAGTGCTCCACTGGAAATGAGTTCAATACCAGGCGCATTTTTTTTTTTCGGTCTCACACCAATAACTAGCTCTTGTCCAGAAAACCCGCACCTTAAAACGCCAAACAAGCGAGCACATTTCCGTAAACGCCGACGAATCGATAATAGATCGACCCGAAGCTGGCATTCATAGTGAATGTCATAGCGCGGCGGCTGCGATGCATTCCACAGAAAGTCACCACCCGAGCCTCCAACGGGTAACGTTTGAATCTGGCGCAAAAACCTCTAGGCGGAACACCGACGTCAGCGAAGACTGGCGGAACGAAATGACAACACGATACGGAGCGGTTACAGTTCACACGGACGCCAGAGAGAGAACTGCGAGAAGACTCACCGTCAAAGTCTGTGTAGAGCCCGTCGCGGAGGTAGTGACCGGAGCCGAAGTCGATCAGGTTCACGGAGAGAGTCTTGAGGTTCACGAGAATGTTCTCGTCCTTGATGTCGCGGTGGATGACTCCGGCTTCGTGACAGGCCAGCACGCACTCAACGATTTGTTTGAAGAAGAGCCTGGACAGCGTCTCCTCGAGCACTCCCTTCTCGGTGATGTAGTCGAAAAGGTCCTTGACGGACTCTGGCCGCTCCATGATGAGGATAAAGGAATCGGGCCGCTCGTACCAGTCGAGGAGACGGATGACGCCGGGTACGTGGGACACCTTGAGCAGCAGGTTGATCTCGAGCGGCACCCGCTGACCGTTCAGCTGCGCACACACAGGAAGACACAATACGTCATTGTTTTGGTTCCGCCGTCGCGCGACGTATTGCGCGGAAACAACGCACAAGGCGCGCGCGGGCATCAGACGTTAGAGTACGCATCGATTCCAGTGGCGTCCTCCTAGACAATCGGCCGCAACGGAGGCGCCGCTACGGCGGCCCTTGAACAGACGTCTTTTTTTCTGCCGAGCAAACGAACAATGCGCGCCCTCCTCGCGCGCTCGCAACGCACAGCCCGTCCACGATTGGGAAGCCATTCGTAGCGAACCCCGACATAACGCCGCGTGCGCGGACGGAGGGGACGCGGAGAAAAAAAAAAAGGACGCGGTGGTGGCGGCGGCGGCACAACATGGCGGCACGCAGAGAGTCGGAGAGTGCATCTAGGTTGCTGCAGAGAGCGTAGCGGGAGAGAAGGCATAGAGAAAAGATGTATAATAAAAGGAAGCCGTCGCCGCTTTAGCGCCGGCGACGGCCTTCTCCAGCCTTCCTCCCCCAAAAAGAACGGGCGCCTCTAACCAGGTCGGCGGCATTCCACGGCGAAGCCAACGGACGCCCGGGAACTTCGTCGACCCGACAAAACCGACCGACCGCCGACATTTTTTTTTTTCTTCTCATGCGCTTTTTTTCGTTTTGTTTTTATGCGGAGTCTTTACCCTCGCAACACAACGCGCCGCTCGCCTCGTCGTCTGCTTTTTCTGCGCGCTCCAGCATAGTCTGCTACGGGCCGACGCTATTGGTCGGCCAGCGCGGCGAAACCAAAACAATCTCACGCTCCGTCGTCTGCTACAACGGAAAGTAGAGCTCGCTTCCAAAACACAGACGCGCCGCCAAAACAGGGAACCGTTCGCGAAATATACGATCGGAATGAAAACTCACCGTGGCCCATTCGGTCACCTTCTCCCGAGAGACGTGTTTGATGGCGACCTGCAAAGACAAAAACAGGGGCAACCCCCGAAAAGATCAGACGGGTGAACGGCCCCGACCAGCAACGGTCGAATTCCGCACTTTCAAAACAGAGCCCCTCCTTCCCCCAACCGACGCCAGTTCCGCTTCGGCCCGGAGAGCGGGGCGAGCTCCGAGCGCGTCGCTACGGGAAGGAAGAGCTCTCACGAATTGTGTTTGGGCTCGCTGCCCCAAAGATACACGCCAACGAACTTGATTGTTCGTCGAAAAGGAACTAAAATTCTCTCCGAAGAACAAAACTTGGCTTGAGAGGGAAGAGAAAAACTCACCGCCAAATTGTCTCTGTTTCGCGTCCCAGCGTAGACGGTACCGAAGCCGCCCTTGCCCAAGAGCGCTCCGACCCGATAGTTCTTCTCGAAGGAGTTGGACTTCTCTGTGCCTGCGTGGCCTGCGTAAACGCGTAGCAAGTCCACGATAAGCATCCAGGGATCGTGGGAAAGCAGCTTGTTCTCGAGCGAACGTAGCACCGGACAAAAACAGCGCGCGCAAAGAGGCGGCCGTTGTATTTACCATGGCGTTCCAGCAGCATGGCTATGCGTCGTCCGACCATAGCAGTGTAATCCTGACTGGGACACAACACAGCACGGAGATCCGTGGTAGCTGACGGTAATCCAAGCGAGTGCGCGGAGAACACACCACACCACACACGACCTCTTGCGAGGTTTGGGGCGCGCGTACCAGCGACGGGTTTGTTTTGACTTAGCGGAAGCAAGCGCAACGAACCACCATCACTCGCAACGCAGCCCACTATGAATCGTGAGCGTCCCGCGCTCTTCTGATAAATATCAACGGAGAAGGGCGTCTGGCTCGTGCTCTGGTATCCCTCCGCGCCTCCTGACGCCAGTGTGGAATTTCAGCGACAAGCGTCGCAGAAACAACGCGCTATCCTCGTCTAAACTACAAATAACTGGTTGAATTTATTATTATCAAAATACTTTCCCCATTTTGAATTGAGTCGACACGTTTTCTAACTTGGAGAACCCAACGCGAAGTATGAAAAGTCGGCACTACTTTTCAGCAAGTGCGCGCGCGACGCGCCGCGGAAGCAGCGCCTGCGTGCTGCGGCTGGCGGGGAAACGCGACGTCACGCGCTTCGTGACGTCGGCGACACCGAGGCGCCAATGGGAGCGCGCGTCGCGGCGACCAATGGAGAGGTGGGAGAGGGTGTACACAAAAAAACCCGCGCACAGTGACGTAGTAGGAAAAAGGCGCGCGTTGGAGCGCTCTCACGCGCCGGGCTTCTTTGCGGAATGTACGCTATGTGCACTCCGCGCGCGCGGGCTTTTTTATTTCTTTTTTTTTTTTCTCCTCGTGTATTCTTTCGTTCCTTCGTTCATTTCCCGCGCTTCTCCCCGGCGGCGCAATGTGGCGCTAGGGTCGGTCCGTTTGCGCGCGCGCGGGAAGGTCACTGAGCTGACTGAGCGGCTCCCAGCAGTTCGCGGCGTCCGAGCATCTTTTTCCGTGAACTCGTTTTCTCGGCGCGAATGCTTCTGCGTCTACGGAATTCCCCTCACCCCTCTTTTTCGCCGAAGAATGCGACATACCCCTTTCCCGAAATGGAGAGAAAGGTCTTTTTATGTCGTTATTTCCTTTTTTTCTTTTATATACATAACTTCCTTTTATAACCTCTTCGTCGCCGGAGCGCTCCGAAGTTCAAGGCATGAACTCGCGCGTCCGGGTGAGAAAAATTGCTGCAGTTTTTTTGTTTTTTGGCGCGAAAAACGCCCATTCCACACCATAGCTGACCAGTGAGGGTTCCGTCGTTTTATCGGTAGCTACAGATAAACCCCGAACAGCCGGTTTTATCAAGCTCGGGGGAAAGCCGATAAACCGAGATTCTAAGCGTCTTTGGGAACCACGCCCCCTTCCTCGACTCCTACTTTTAATAATACTCAAGTTTTTGTTTTGTATGTTTCTTCCAAGCGTATGTTTCCAAAAAGAAAAAAAAAACGAAAAGTGGACGCCCGTGTCCCTGTTTATTCAACATAAACACCGAGATTTTTTTTTTTTTTTCGACATTGAAAATGGAGATTAAAAAACACCGAACCAAAACCAAAAAGAAAAAAAAATCTAAGCCCCGGAAAAACAAGCTTCCCGTTTCGAAGAAGAAGAAACCCCCCAAAACACGGTGCCCTGCTTATCTCTCACAATCTCCATAAAAACCATGTCAACACACGATTACCTCTAGACCACGAACGTCACTATGTCCCGACACAGGACGGGGACTTTGAACAAACAATTCCACGCAGCAATTGCCCGTTTGCTCAAACGGCGGCAATCGTTAATAAACTTCAAACGTCAAAAAAAATTACAGTAAAAAAAAAAAACATCCGTTTTCCGGCACACTTGTATTACATATCAACGTCGAAACGTGCCAAGTGTGCGTTGGTTACGCCGGCAGCAATGATCATACTAAGCTCCAAAAATTGGAAACAGGGGAGGAAAAAAAAAGAAAAAACTCTCTCAACAACAACTTTACATTGCACGTCGCGTGTGCCACAGAGGCGACACTCAGTTACGGCAAACAATGAAATAAACCCACTGCGGAAACCACGACGAACACTCGCAGTGCACGTGCAGTGAAGAGGTTAGTCTACCTGTCCTCCTTCCTTATACTGCGGTCTTTCTTTTTTCGCTTTATCTGCTAAGTGCACATCTGTCGTCCTGCCATACCACGCTCAAGACACGTGCTTGCTTGAAGGAGGTGCTTACAGCTTCCAAAGCTTTGCATTTGTTGGATCTGCTGCACTTGTTTGTTTTCTATTTTTTTTTTTTTTTAACGGTTTGATGGCATCTTGAGTGCCCGTGTGGCTTATCCGACTGCAAGCTGGACGATCTCGCTGCCTTGAAAAAGATTAGCTGAACTTGTCTACGGGCAGGCGCTTGGAAGGTCTGATTTCTCCTGTTGGAGAGCAGGTGTGGAATCCCTGCACAAAACTAAAACTGCAGCGTCACGGTGCGCCTTCTGCGTTCGATTGGATTAGAGGGATTAGAAAAGCAACGTCAACACATCCTCACAAAAAAAAAAAAAAAAAATCTGGATCCGCGTTTACGCGCCGGACGCTTACATCGCCGGTGTGAATGCGCCTTTAGGGGGGCCGGGCGCCGCCATATTGGTGCCCATAGTGCACTGCACAAGCGGCCGCCGAGGAAACTCGGCTACCCTTTGTTCTCCGTAGCGGACTGCTTTGAGCAACTCTAGAGCAGCAAGAAGATGGACGAAGCGTCGTTGACTCCGAAGCTTAGCTTATTCGGTGGCTCTATTATAGCGTGCTCAAAGTGCACGTCCACGCTCTTTCTTTCGTTCTTTTACGCGTATTATATTACAGTTCCGAGTCGGCGCTCGCGTGCCTTGCGTGTCTCCCGTGTTCCTTTCGTTTGTCCTCGTCCTTTGTGCGCTGTCATGTTCCACATGCACCTCCAAAACATGGCGGCCCTTCGAAAGGGGAATCGGCGTTTCGACTTTCGGCGTTCCGATATACCGGCATACGACGAAGACGCCCGCAGAGAGCGTCGACACAGACCGACTTTCGTACGATGTAATTATTAGCGGCGCGAATCTCCGGCATTACGCGGTACGGCCGGCAACGCTGGACGAAGCGTTGCTACTTGTACCGTTTGCTAGCGACGTGGAAACACCGCTGGCCTCGCGGATAATATCCTTGGAGGAGCTGCTGCGACGTCTAGTCGCGCCGAAGCGCCAGTTTGCCTTGTGAAGGACGCCAGGAGGGAACGACGTTGTTGTTGTACAGCGACGGTGGAGTAACGGTCCGCGGGTTACGCCCGTCGTCGTACAAAAATCAAAGCCCTTGATGATGTTTTTTTTTGTTTTTTTTTTTTTTTTTTGTTTTCTTGCTCTTGGCGAGCATATTGCGAGGAGGAGCGACGCGGGGCGTCGCGCGCCACGAGGTTAGCGAGTCGTTTCGTCTGAAACCTTGCGATACTTTTAAGGCAGAGTTGTGAATTTGTTTTCACGTCTCGTGTAGTACGTCGGTTTATCGCATTATTCCTCGACATTTATGTCTTCACTAAGGTATCCCGAACCTGTCACCCTTCACGTATTTGGCTCGTCAAACCTCGTCTCATGTTTGTGATTACACGATGATTAACGGGTTCACTCAAGCGCTCGCGAGAAATCTCCAACGTCGTGATTGTCGATAGACCGCGATTTTATTTAACTCAAAAATGAGTTCGTCGAAGATACATGCGCCACAATCTCGTCGTTCGTGTCATGCTGGCGCAGAAAATTGAGGACATTTTCGTCGAAAGAAGCGCGCGCGCGGCGAGCTGCCGATGACTCAAACGCCGAATCCGGCAGGCGTCAATGACGAACCCTAATCTGGAAGGCGTCAGTGCGGGTCAATTGGAGCGGATACTGTGCAGCAGGCTTCTGACTCATTTTACGATTATCAGCGTAGATTCGACCGGCCAGCGCACAATATCGAAGGAAAGGACTGTGAACACACTTCATTGGCACATAACGCTGTCAAAGATGCTGGAGCGACCATGTAGCCTCTTGGTCGTGGGGTTATTTACATTTCATCGTTCATTTGCAAACCGAAATTGGTTCCATTAGCTCGTAGCGTCGGCTTTACCCGATTCAACGAAGTATAATATCTCCACACGTTTGAAAAACCGGAGACGTTCTGTGTGTTGTCCCCTTTTTCGTCCGTCGTCTCCGGTTTTTCAAAAATGTGTAACATCAACCAGCTCTTCTGCCTACTCGCTTTATCTATAATATCTCCAACCTCTCCGAGACCGTAATTTATTTTTTTTCTCTATCTCTACTTAATATTTCTTGTTCGTCCTGCTGGACATTTGTTAAAGCGATTCGAAATCGCTTTAAACTTTGGAATGGCCGAAACACGCCGGTACGTTCGATTCACGCTAACTGTTGTGCCACCATGTTCGATGAAACGGCATTCGATGAAATGTCTGGTACCCAATAAAATCAACTGTTAAGGTCCTAAAAAAATAAAAGACATCAACGGGTACCGGACATTTCATCGAACGCCGTTTCATCGAATGCCGTTTCATCGAACGCCGTTTCATCGAACACTCTTTCATCGCACGCCATTTCATCGAACGAATATCTTGACGCCGTTTCATATAATTTTATTTCATCGAATTTTGGAGAATTATTGCGCGTTTTAGCTTATTTACTCTCTCGTCTCAGTTGTTTCCACGCTGCTGTCGAATCACCAGGAATAAAATTACTACCCTGGTCACTATTTCACCAAAAGTTTGGTTGCTGAATCATAGAACATAACTTGAATGCTGCTCAGTAATGAGTGTTTTCTGTTTGTTATTTGTTCACACAAAAAGGTAGATCCGGAAAGGACTACGTATAACTATTCTTCTCCGCGCCTTTTTTATTTATCTATTTGCTCGAGTTTTCATTCTATCCTAGGAGAATAGCTTCTAAGCACAAAAGTTCAAAACTCCGGTAAGTCCACGGTTCTGTCGATAACGAAAAATAAACAAAGAAAGACACCTTTTTTTTTTTTCTTTCGTTAAATGCCACATAGATACGTGTAATTGCTTGAAGGACGAATTTGCTCTTGAGACAGAACACGTCTCCTCTAGGACGTGGTTAGGACCTTGAAGAGACGTACTTTCGTCGCTGCACCCGATAACCGCAGGTTTCATAAAATGTCAAGGCTGTGTTCCCGTTTATTATTGGCTACATTCGCAGCACAAGTCATTAGTTACTATGAGAAGAAGAAAAATAGGTGTAGCGGAAGAAATAAAATTTCTTATTATTAGTTTTCCTCTCTGTAGCAAAATAAAGGTCCGCTATTCTTTTTGGTTTTAAAAGACCCTAGATCCAAAATTTCTACTGCTTATTGCTTGGTGGTGTGCGATCAAACGGCTTCGATGAAATCACTTTCGATAAAATGTCCTTTGATGAAGCGGCTTCGGTGAAACGGCGTTCGATGAAATGCCCGAACGCGGTTTTCGCTTTGCCGCTAAATGTTTTTCAGTGCGAACTTTCGAAAGGGGTCTATTGTTCTCGCCGGCTGTGTGTTTGACTTGTGGAACCTGCTGATGCTCCTCCCCGTTGGCT